TTTTAATCCTGTTCTCCTCCTCTGAGAAAAGACCTTCCTTCTCCTTTCTAGAAGCCAAGCCCAAGTCGACCTCACTCTTTCTAGTGGACTGCAGTCCAGCAGGTCAGTAATGAAGGATGCTCTGCTTATCTCCGTTCCCCAACCTTGAGAGTCCACTCTTCCTGAAGCACAACTGGGACCAGCCTCTTCGTTAAAAAGCAAAAACTAAACCAACAGCAAACAAACAAGCAAAGAGCTAGGACAGTGTTCTGGGAAGCTTTGCCCATAGGAGTCTGTGGTCTTGGGTGGATGATTTGACCTGTGCATAAACTGAAAGCAGGACAAAAGCTTCCTCCGTACTGGTGCTGGCTTGTCTCCAGGGGGAGGAGTGTGCTCTTTTTTTTCTCTGGCCACAGCTCGTCCCCTTTATCCCATACACATGCACTTCATTGTGCGAAAGCTGTACAACAGTGCAGCCTTGATTTATGAGAGCTGCGATTCTTCCCTGATCCTGGCTGGCACAGCGCTGGAGGCTTTGCTTTTATGTGTCCACGTCTAGGGGCAACTGGCAGCCAGCTGTTGGAAATTGGTTTAAGAAAATAATAAAAATAAAAATACCCATGGACTGTCTTGTGGTTCCAGGTTTCTGGTACCTGCCATTAGCTTTGGAATAAATAAGGGGGTCTTTCCCCTTGGAATGAGATTTCTCTATGACACCTAGATTTATATTGTGCTGGAATGATTGCTAGGTAACAAGGGGTCTCGCCTCAGGGCTCAGTTAATAATTGAGACTTTTAGAATAACAAGTCACGTGGCCCCCTCACCCCCTTTCTTCCTAAAGAGTCCCTAACTCTACCTATGTAATGTACTCTCAAGTGTTGGACTTCTGCTAAGCTTAGCTATCTCTGGGGTGGAAGTTAACACCTGGCAGAGACCAGCTACAGGGAGCAGCAGCAGGAGCTCCCCACCCAGGTGAGGATTATGATGGGGGCAGGCACCAAAGCAGAAAGAAAGGGGCAGATTGTTTTCAGGAAGCAGCTCCCTCACGTATGTGAGCAGTGTTACAGAGAAAAAGGAAAGACGTCTTCTTAATGACCACGATTCTCTGAATATTCTGAGTTACAGGTCTTTGACAAGTATTTTGTGTACTGTACATGTGATCCATGCCAAGCACCTTTCTTTATTTACTTATTTGCTCATGACTGATCTATCCCAAACTTTCCAAAAAGACTTGAGATGCCTTGAAAGGAAATACCTGTCGAATAAGACAATTAACATTTAAATAGAAGGTGTATGTAGACTGAGGAGGAGAATAAATATATAAAATCTAGAAGCCGGCAGTTTTTTTTTTCCTGCAACATTCCCAGATCCCTTAGTTCACTAAAAAAATATTATAATTTTCTGATAGAGGACTACCAGGACTACCACAACCTGCTTTTTTCATGGAGTTCTGAGGCTTCGTGAAAAATGGACCAAAGCCAAAACAATTTCTTCACTGGAGCAGAAGTTTAAGCTCCAGGCTCCTGGGGAATAAAGGCAAAAAGAATATTTTTGATGAAAGAGTATTTTCTGCATCTAAAGATGAGAATGACACCCTTATTTAAAAAAAAAATAATTTTAAGGGTGTGTCCCATGAATGTTTACCTAAAAGATACTAAATTATATGATGGGCATTAAGCACTGGCTTTGCAGATAAAGAAGACATGCTTTTCTTAGGGCCAGTTCTTATTTGAGCCATAACACAACATGGAGAACACTGGAGAGGGTATCAAATGTAAAAAAAAAAAAAAAAATCAAGTTTCTAGAAGGTAGAATTACCAGAGGATGTATAGGAAATCCAATAAAATTGGAATTTTAGGTAAACAACTTTTTAGTATAAGTATGTGCAAATGTTGCATAGGACATACTTATACTATAAAATGACTCCTTGAGTTGAAATTAAAATTTAATTAGGTGTCCTGCATTTTTATTTGCAAAGTTTAGCAGCTTACTCAGAGGTCAAGGCCCAAGTCATATGTTGGAATCATGCAGCAGCCTCCTCTCTGCACTAATCACCAGACACAGCATTGCCATGGCCCTCTCAATTGACCCACTCTGATTGGAGGGTTTACTTGTCAAATCTGTCTTCACTTGCCCCACCACCAAATCTCCAGAGTGCTAGTTCTTATCTCTGCATTTCCCTGGGAAGGGGGTCTTATTGACCTTTTGGAATAGTCTCAGGTTGGCCTTCAGCCTCCCAGTTCCCTGGAGTCAATGACTAGCCTGAAGAAGGAGCATTTAAGTTGGTTGTCCTAGGCCAACAAAGATTTTACTCTGAGGCACTCCCCCGCCCGCCCCCAGTATTTATCACACCATCTCTGCACTTGTAGTATATTATTAGCCTTTTATGCCTTCTCTGTCACCTGTTGAAATGAGAATGCAAGGTCTCTGGGCCTCTGCAGCCCTTTCCCTTACATTAACTTAAGTCACACCAGATGTGGGCCTTTAGTGCTTAGGAAGACTAATTGATTTCACCAGTCACAATACTCCTATTGTTTTTTATTTTAACACAAATAAACACTGTGGTGGGTTTTCTCTTCTTTCTCTCTCTGGTCCTCTTGCCAAAAGAGCCAAAGGTTATTCAATTAAAGGCATCCAGAAGTGTGATGAAAAATCAATATATGGAGTACATCTATTATTAAAGAAGGAAAAAAGGGCGGGGGCGGGGGAAGAAAGGAGAAGGATAAAGCGTTGTAGGGAAGAGGGAAGGAAGGCTCTGAGGGACCAGCAGTAACTCTGATGGATGGCTGGTGTGTGTGAGACATTATTATTTGTAATGTGAGTGTAGGGAGATGGCAGCCGAGCTGAGCAATACACCTGCTGGGCTCCAAGCAGCCAAAACAGCTGCACACATTGATTTAGAAGCTTGCTACTTGGGGCTCCAGGAACGAATCAAGCGACAGCTCGTAAAATAAGAGGGTTTTATGATTTTCCCCCCTCTTTCTGTAAGCAAACGGCCACATCATATGTTTTCCTAATGCGGTCATAACTCAAAATTAAATCCCAGCCCAAGGTGTCAGCCTGGTGCCACGTCAGGAATTGTAACGGCTTGTTTTAGAGGTAGCCATGGAGATGGTGGAAGAAGGATGGGGGAGGTTTGGGAAGGTGGGAAGGGAGACAGGGTGCTGTCTGCATCAGTGTGCCTTAGACACTCGAGAACCATTAGTTATTTTTTTTTTTTAAAGTGGTGAGCAAACTAGCAGTATTTAGTTGGTGATTTCATGGTTATCTCAACCTCTAATTGACATTGCTAAGATGCAAAGTACTGTCCCACTAGAGAGAGACTTCTGCCCAGGTGAGGGCGGGTGAGTCCTTGAGCGAGAGTTGCCAAGATGAGCTACTTAGGGACACTGTTCCTTCACCCACTTCAAAACTGGTCATTGATCCCTTGGGATGGGAAGGAGTCAAAATACTTCTGATAAATGTTGAATGGAAGTGGTTTCTATAAAAGGTGTGTCAGGTTACCCCGAAGCTATAACTGACTATGTGTGGTCAAAGTCCTGTGGGCTCCGATAATGCCGGATAAATCTCTTTGCAATGCCCTCCCTAAAGGTGATGAGAAACTATAGGACATGGAGGTAGGTAAGCTGGTCTGTAGGATGTGACAGTTCCACGGATTCCATTCGTTTATCCAGTAGCTTCTAAGTACCAGGAGGTTTGAAAACTGCTCACAAACGAGCAAATCGATGAAAAAAAATGACTGAAAGAAAAACATGGATGTGTGCTTTATTGCTAATAGTTCTATAACAGCATCATCATGGCCAGAGAGAATAAAATAATGCTCTTCTTTCAAAGCCCAGATCACCAAGTCTCTGTGTAATCCCTAAGGCTCAGACATTAGTCTCGTCTCTTACCTTGACGTTTTTGCTCGCAGAGCAGTCATCCATCAACCTGCTCTCTGCCATTACTCAGAAGACAACACACCCCAGTTGACCTCTCTCTTGAATTCTCATTCTGCATCTCCAGCTGCCTATAGTACATTGCACTTAAATTTCATATTACGCCCCCCTCTTCTTTCCTTAATCAGTTATTTTATTCCTCATTTTCTGCTTTTCATTATGGCACTACATTAGTCTTAGTCACTAAAGCTCAAAATAGCATGCATAACTTTGGCTTTCCTTCCTAGATTCAAACAGACACTGCACTTTCCTTCCCTTTTTCACAATATCTCCAGTCTATAACTTCCTTCTCACCTCTACTGAGTCATTTCCGAGTTCAGGACCATATTATCTCATGCGTGAGCTATAGCCATCACTTCCCACTTGATCTCTCTTCCCCTGGCCTCCAGGCTCTATCCACTCAACTCTTACAGCATACCCAGTCTTTGCAGAATTGGGTAAGTTTCTCCGGTTATGATATCTTTCCCCAAATGCCCCTCGCTTCCCACAGAATAAAACCAAATTATTGTCATCTGGCATTTAAGGAATAATCCTGACTTTATAGTTTGATTTCCTAATGCTAACCAATATAAATTTCTGTATCAGTAAAAATAACATCAATTAATAATAAATAAATTATCAAATTGATATATTCACTATAGCACTGAGCATTTCACATGCACAGGTTTTTTTTTTTTTTGTATCCTTAGAGCATTTCTATAAGGAAGACATTGCTATCATCTTTTCTTAGACAATGAAACTGAAGCACAATGAAGCTATGTATCTTGCCCAGGGTCACAAGTAGGAGAGCTGGAATTTGACCTAGGAAGTGGAGCCTGACCCCACAGGCTCTTAAAAGCCATCACCCTCCATCACTGCCAGTTACTTAGCCTCCTGAAGACATCCAGACTAGCCCACTTCCCTTTTCCACATTGCCTTCTTGCCACTTCTCCTGAAGACAATCTTAATATGTGACTAGGGTTGTGGCTCAGCTGTAGAGCACTTGCCTAGCATGTGTGAGGCACTGGGTTCCATCCTCAGCATCACATAAAAATAAGTAAACAAAATAAGGTAGTGTGTCCATCTACAACTAAAAAAAATTTTTTTAAAAAGAGATAATTTTAATATAAACACTTTTGTATTCCTCCTTCTCTAAACACATGTGCCCAAAGAAAACTGTGGTGTCCACAGTCTCCACTACTTCCTAACGTCCAAATGCTAGCAGGCATCATGTCCCCTGCTCCTCTGTTCCCTTCACTGCCTGATGGTCACTTGCACAGGTACTTCATAAATAGCTCACTGACAGAATGGAGAATT